ATGTGTGTGTGTGTGCATGCGCACGCATGCATACCCATGTATGCATATGTATATGGAAGTGCAGAGGCCATAGTTCAGCGCAAACCCAGATCTGGGAGATTCCCCAGAGAGGGATAAATCGAGAAAAAGAACAGGTGTCTTCTCTAAAATGAGAGACAGTAAAATGGAAAGGAAAATGAGTCAAAAGGATTGGAACAACATGAAAATTAAGATCATATTTAAAGTAGTGAAAATGCCCTGGTTAAAGTTCCCCAGGCTGGAATTATGACTTTACCAGTCAGCAAGCTGTAGAGGTTGGGCACGTCACCTCATCTCTTCTTCAGACCACTGTTTTTCTTTTCTGTGACTGAGAATGGGTACTGGACCATTGCTCTTGCGGTCCTTCCAAACTTCTGAATTTTCTTATCCAAGACTTCTGCTAACTACAGAATTAAGTAAAATACTGATTGTATGACTCTAAACTTTGAACAATGACTATGATTTGCTATAATAATATAACTAATATGGCCATAGTATCACATTTTGTGTGCAGAAGCCGCAGACTCTTAAGAGTCCAGAGTTAAAAGAGATTGGTGTAATTTTCAATAAGAAATCCAGTGGTATAGTCATAAATTTTATCTTAAAAGTACTGGTTAAGTACAGATTAGGACAGATGTTTTAATAAAATATATTTTGCTTTACAAATACACTCTATTATTAAAGTCAGTTATGTGATTTTTAAGGAAAATTAGATTTGACTGAGATCATCTTTCTCAAAATACAATTTTTGAATGTCCAGTTTATCCTTTAGATCTTTCACGTTGATATGCTTTTATCCAAGTGGCTCACTTTGCACTCCTGTCTCAAAGGTCTTGGTAGCTGGTGACATGCCCATGTTATCTTGGTTTGGACACCGCAAAAAAATGGAACTTATAAAAGGAACAGCACAGTAATCAAAATATGATCAATATTAACATTTTGAAAAATAAGGCAAAGTATATGGGGACACAGTCAGGATCCATGGCATCTGTGACCATTCTATAAATGTTGAAGATGCAAGGGAATGGACAGTGAGACTTTGAGCAGGATACAAAGAGAAAGGGCACGTAAGCAGAGGGCCTGATGGCCACCGAAAGATCTTCTGATGAGTGGCTTCTAGAAAATGTCTGATTTCTCATTAGGAAGTTGAGATAGATATCTTGGATGGTTTGTTCTGATAAAAGCAGTAGAAAATCTGTTTCCAAACTGGATGCCACAAATTGTGAGAGTTAAAATCTGTAACTGACAGGAAGTGTTCTGATCTGAAGTATACTTCCAAAGAAGCTCTGAGTACTTCTAATTTGATCTTGTCCACCCAAACAATGTATGTGGGCCTGTTCTGATGCATCCCATGTTCTCTGGTTCACTTCTTTCGGGAATAAGACCCTGTGGTCTTCAGTGTTTAGAGTATAATGAAATATCAGACTCATATTGGTATGGCTGAACAAAAAGGATGGTTATATCTCCTCTTGGAATGTATTCTTTGTTGGCATTGTTTGCTTCTGACCACCATACTGAGATGTTCCTAGTTCACTAGTGAGGCAGAATGGGATTAAAATAGTACATCAAGGAGCAAGAAAATCCTCCCTATTTACTCCATCTTTGAGGTATTTATTTTTCAAGAAGAAATAAAATGAAAACTAGTAAGTGTCCCTTAACCAGTCACTAAGAAGTATAATATTTTGTTGGGGTCCAGAATATTTTTTTTTAAAGAAGGACCCATGCTGGGAGCCCAACGCAGGACTTGAACTCCCTACCCTAAGATCAAGACCTGGCTGAGATCAAGAGTTGGATGCTTCACCAACTGAGCCACCCAGGTGCCCCAAGAGAGTACACACTACATAAGAGTAAATACACAACAAAAACAAAACAAACAGTAAATAGACATCATAAAATCTAGAAAATAAGCTTATAGGTCTACTTCTTTAGTTAAGGTTGGACAACTCTATCAGAATGTCAGAAACAGGGTATGTGATCTATAACAATATTATTAAAAAATTAGAGGCTGTAATGAACAGAAGTTAAAAACAATCTAGCTCTCAAGGTTTTTAATATTCAATTAATGGAAAGTATTAATGATTCATGTCTAAATGATGACTTTTTTTTGCAAGACAAGTATGGCCAAAATTTTAAGTAGTTGGAAATAATTTATGTAGCTATAAAAAATGTATATTGTAGGGTCATGAAAATACCTTTAATTGAGTAATTTCAGAAGTCATTAGCTAGTTTAGTTCTGAACTGGTCAAAGCTACCTCATAGTTATTAGTCTGTCATCTGTTATTTATGTGTTATTTGCCTAAGGACTTACTTTTTTATTTTTTGGATATTCTGATGAAAATCTTTTCAAACTATATTACATACTCAGTTGCCTTTGTAATGGAACCTGCAAGGCCTCAGGGCATAAGACAGGACTAGGAATGTGTTTGCTGGGATGGGGATGTCATGGGAATTGCTTCCTGCACAGTAGGGTCTTGGATGATGCTGCTTTGAAAGTTCTTACATGTGATTCTTATTTTCTTTTCTTTCCCTTGCTATGGATTATCAGTTCCTTCTCTTGCAAGAATTCTTGCGTTAGTGAGCTTCTGTTTTTCTAGTCTGATGTTGATGAGAAATCAGAACAGCAAAGGTATTTACATGTACCTAAAATAAATGAAAATACTCATTAAGGGCCTTCTTGGAAATAACACATGTTAGCTTTAGTGTGTAGACTCTACATTATCCATTTTGGTGACTCTGAAATGCCTGTTAGATAAAGCATAGAAATGCCTAGTAGTCTAGTTCCCAGCACATAGTAGGTACTTTGCAATGTCCATAACTATATAGTTTTCCCACTCCCTATGCTACCTTCTTCATTTTTAGTTTATTTTCTCTTTTCTTGGCTGTGTCTCATGAAGTAGAGATTGCTGGATAAGTGATTTCCAGTTCAACAAAGTCTTACTCTGACAATACTGGTATATCTGCTCAAAATATATGAGCAACCATGTATTTATAGACTCACTATGTATTTCTTAGGATGCATAAATTTAATTTTAATATGGCATTTGAGAGGAAAAGGTTGTTAATTCATTGTAAACTACCTGGATGCAGAATATTTCACTACTTTGGCTGTTTGGTTAATTTCACCACCAATCACTCCCCCTCACAATGAATATATTCCACAATTAACTTTGAGAGGAGCTGAGTCCTGGAGTAGAGAGGGTCATGGGGTGCTGCATGCCCACTCTCACCCTCCACTTGACCACATACTTTTACAATCATGTCAAGTGATTAGCAACTGCTTTTGTTTCATTTTTAGAACTTCCGTATTCTGAAACTTTTTTTCTAAAATAATAAAGAAGTTCCTGTGTATTTTAGTAATAATGGTAATAGTAATAGTGGTAATAATAATAAATCAACTATATTTCATTAGTTCAGTGATGACTTGTTCACTTAAGAACCCTAAATGAGGGGCACCTGGATGGCTCAATGGGTTAAAATCTCTGCCTTCCGCTCAGGTCATGATCCCAGGGTGCTGGGATCAAGCCCCGTGTCGGGCTCTCTGCTCAGCGGGGAGCCTGCTTCCCTTCCTCTCTCTCTGCCTGCCTCTCTGCCTACTTGTGATCTCTGTCAAATAAATAAATAAAATCTTTAAAAAAAATCCTAAATGAAGTTTTTTTATTATTGGGTAGGTTGAATTCTCTGAAGAATCACTCTGAGCAGACATTTCTGCAAAGAAGACATCCAGATGGCCAACAGACACATGAAAAAGTGCTCCATATCACTTGGCATCAGGGAAATACAAATCAAAACCACAATGAGATACCACCTCACCCCAGTCAGAATGGCTAAAATTAACAAGTCAGGAAATGACAGATGCTGGCGAGGATGCGGAGAAAGGGGAACCCTCCTACACTGTTGGTGGGAATGCAAGCTGGTGCAACCACTCTGGAAAACAGCATGGAGGTTCCTCAAAATGTTGAAAATAGAACTACCCTATGACCCAGCAATTGCACTACTGGGTATTTACCCTGAAGATACGAACGTAGTGATCCGAAGGGGCACGTGCACCCTAATGTTTATAGCAGCAATGTCTACAATAGCCAAACTATGGAAAGAACCTAGATGTCCATCAACAGACGAATGGATAAAGAAGATGTGGTATATATACACAATGGAATACTATGCAGCCACCAAAAGAAATGAAATCTTGCCATTTGTGACGACATGGATGGAACTAGAGGGTATCATGCTTAGCGAAATAAGTCAATCAGAGGAAGATGACTATCATATGATCTCCCTGATATGAGGAAGTGGAGATGCAACATGGGGGGTTAAGGGGGTAGGAGAAGAATAAATGAAACAAGATGGGATTGGGAGGGAGAAAAACCATAAGTGAGTCTTAATCTCACAAAACAAACTGAGGGTTGCTGGGGGGAGGGTGGTTGGGTAAGGGGGGGTGGGGTTATGGACATTGGGGAGGGTATGTGCTATGGTGAGTGCTGTGAAGTATGTAAACCTGGCGATTCACAGACCTGTACCCCTGGGGATAAAAATATATGTTTATAAAAAATAATTTTAAATAAATTTAAAAAAAAAGAATCACTCTGAGTTTGTTGCCTATAGAATTTAGGATTATTTAAGGAGCTAGGAATGGTAATCCAAATGGATTAAACTATATTGATAACAACATTAAATTACTTAGCCTTTGTAACACCCTTTTCTAATGATGAGAGAATTTCAGCATTATGGCCCAGATTTAAGATGCTACATAACTAAGTGTGAGGGAACCATAACAGCTACTTCATGTCTATCACTCCACATATATTATCTTATTTATTCCCTGCTACAAATCTCTAATGTCAGTATTTTTATGCATAGGTTCACCTCAAATCTAACAATGTCAGCAAATAATACTATTTGTTCTGCAAATAAAAACAATTTACTGAGAGTCTACTATGTGCTAGATCCCATTCCAGACACTGGGAAATAACAAGTAAAAAACAAATAGACAAAAGTTTCTGCCCTAATGGATCTACATTCCAATGGGGAATACAGATAATAAAATAAACTAAAAACAGCATATTACATGGTAATAAATACCACAGGGAAAAATAGAGCAGGCAAAGGGACAGGAAGTTGTTAGATGGCAGGAGGCAGTTACGATTCTAAACCTGAGTGACCACAGAAATCATATTAGAAAAGTAACCTCTGAACAAAGAAATGAAGGAGGTGAGGGAGGAAGCCATGCAGACCCCGTGGGGAGGAATATTCCAGGCAGAGAGAAGAGCAAGTAAAAGTAAAAGTCCCTAGAGTGAGAGCATGCTTGACACATCCAGGGAACAAAGGGAAGGCCAGCCTGGAGCAGGAGAAATAGGGTGAGTAGGTAGGAGACAAGATCAGAGATGTCACTGGAGCCAGAAGGAGAGGCCTGGAGGCCCCATGAAGATGTGAACTTTTATTCTGAGCAAGAGGAAAGCCACTGGACATGATGAGCGAACTGGGACAGGAGCTCACGCACCGTAAGCAGCTTGCACTAGCTGCTGTGATGAGTCTACATTGAGGGAGCAGATGCGGCAGCCCCGAGACCAGGTAGGAGGCAATGCAATAACCCAGGTGGGAGCTACTGGGCTCTTGGACCAGGGTGGGACTTGGGGACATGTGAGAAGTGATCAAACTCTGGAAACAGACACTGAGAGAAACAGAGGAGTCAAGGGTAATGCCAAGGTTTTCAGCCTGAGCAGTTACCACGGGAGGGAGCTGTGGAGGAACGGATTCTGGAGGGGAGAGAAGGGTTTGGATGCGGATGGTGGAGTAGTCAGCCGGATGTATGGGGTTCAGGGGAGACACCTGGGCTGAAATATAAAACTGAAAATAACCTGAAATTAACACAAGCAACAGGTTCCATCCTGATGTGTGCCTTGTAAGGTTATCTCAAACAATGCTTTGGGTACTGACCACTTTCCTAACATTCAGAATCAAAAAGATATGGGAACTAACACTGTTGAACTATGTCACAGATTCTAGGTTGGGCCTTTAAAATATGTTCTTTCTCTATGTTTCCCCAAGGGGTATATACACACTGTTATCTTACTGGTTAAATAAGGAAACTAAGATTCAGAGAAAGCTAGTGCCTTCCACTGTAGAAAATCCTGGAGCCTAGATTTGACTCAAGCCTTCTCAATCCCCAGAACCTGAGTGCATGTCCTGCCAGGCAGTTTGCTGCCCAGCCATCAATGCTGCTTGACAGACTCACCCCTCCAAAGTTGGGTCCCTTTAGCAACAGAAGAAAACCACAGCCCACATAGTTTACCCATCAGGCTAGTTACCTTATAGTTCACTTACCACATTCAGCAGCATAATGATGCAGAAGTTGATGCACACGGCAGTCCCTGTGGTTGCCACCTGAGAGTTATTCCTGATTAATGCCCACTTAAAGGCAGCAAAAGTGCTGACAGTCACCACCCGGTAAATGACGATCCCAAACACGGCAGCGATCACCACGCAGATCTGGGAGGAAGATGGAAAGCCGGTGAGCACCCTGATGGAATGTCCCAGGAGGAGGGTCCCCACCACTGTAAAATTCCACCATTGGAAAACAAGAAAAGGAAATAAACCAACAGCGGAACTGACTCAAGAAACCACAATAAAATGCTAACTTTTCATTGTGACTAATACTTTCTCTTGCCTGTATTTTGTTATTCAAATAGAACAACCATAGTGCTTGAAAGCTGATAAACTGTGTAAGCTATGGGGTAACATTTTTTTAAGCAGGGTATTAGACTGAGCATTATTATTATGGAAATCTTATGATGTCACTCTTCTGTGTAAAACTCTGTTGATTTCTTTTATTCTTAGGATAAAAGCAATGTCTTAATGGTGGCAAGACTTTCTCTATCTTGTGGAATGACATTTTCCTTTTAGTCTGGGGACTCAAGAACCTCTCTCATGGCTTCAAATGGGCTAATCTTCAAGACCATTTCCTTTGCCTAAAAGGCTGACCACCCCCCATTCCCATGCCAAACACACACATACGTGAGTATGCAAGTGTGCATACACACACACACAGAGCCTAGTTAACACCTACTCTTCTTTTACACCTCAAGAACCACTTCATAACTAAAGCTTTAATGACCCTCAGACTTTGTTATTGCTATAGGATACCTGTACTCTTCTTTTAGTATCTAATTTATAATTTCTAACAATTTTTCAGTTTGATTTTTGCCAGTTTCCCCCATTTAGAAAGTATAGTTGACCCTCCCCCTTTTCTAAGGTCCCCAGTGATACCTGATACCTTGGATATTATCAAACCCTACATATACTATGGTTTTTCCTATAGACAAATAGCTATGAGAAAGTTTAATTTGCAAATTGGGCACAGTAAGAGACTAACAACAGTAACTAATGATAAAACAGAACAACAATACGATAGAAAGACTATGTGAATATGGTCTCTCTCCCTCTCAAAATATCTTATTGTATTGTACTCACTCTCCTTGTGATGATGTGAGATGGTAAACTGCCTACATGATGAGATGAAGTGAGGCAGATGGCATAGGTACTGTGATATAGCATTAGGCTACTACTGATTTTCTGATGATATGTCAGAAGGATTGTCTGCTTCCAGTCTGGGGCTGACTGCAGGTACTGAAACACTAGATAGCAAAACTTCAGATAAAGGGGGGGGGGGCACTATAAGCTCCATCAGGGCTGGTACGGTATCTGTTTTGTTCACCATAGTTTCTATAGTGCCTTAGCATAATTATAGGTGCATAGTAAATGTTCAGCTATTTGTTGCTGAATAAGCCAACTCTGTGATAGGTACATAATCTCTTATTAATCAATTATAGACATTGAACTGAGCTATCTTTCTCTGAAGATTTCATGGTATGTGATGAGAACTCAACATGTCTTCTATCTACTGGCAATATGAGACCCCAACATGTTTGTGTCTTTCATTAGATGACTCACTATATCAGAGTAAAGACCTTTACCTACTTAGTTATCAAAAACCAAGCTGAGAACCAGCATGCACTCTCCTGACTTACAGATTGCTAGAAGCATTCTTCTGTTTTACACCAACTGTTTTTGGCTTTCTATGAGTGACATGCTCTAAAAGCTTGAGTATAAAGCTTGAGCTGGAACTGGCAAAAATTGCAACAACAACAATAACAATTGCCTACATCTTAATCCTTGAGCTAATGATGGGGAGATTGGTGAAATCTACACTGACTTTCAGACAGGGTGGCAATGTGGTGGAATGGACAGCTCACTGGACTCAGAAGTCAGGTCTGGGTCATGGCTCAGCTTCTACCTAGCACTGTGACTGTGGGCACGTAGTTTGTGGGTTTGGCTTCCTTTGCTCTAGGTTGCCCATCTGCAGAGTAAGAAAAGCTCACTCTACATCTACAGGTCTTGTAAAAAAACAAAAAGCAAGACAATAAATGTGAATACTTATGAAAGTCGAAGCATGACATAATTGCTTACAGAGCAGTGTCTATAGAAAGGTGTGGATTTGAATCTTGGTCTGAGCCAAGATTGGGCATGCTGCCTACCCTTTCATCTCTCCAGTTTCTTTGGCTAAAGGGTGGGTAATGTGTCTAGATTTGCTACCATTTTGTCCTTCATAATCTATTGATCTACAACACCTGTTTACACACTCACCATTTGAAAACAGGAAAGGAGAATCGTAACCACCATTTAAGGTTCTAAAAATGACATTTCTGAAAAATTTGCGTAAGTTTTGTTCGGTGGTTAACAGGGTCAAAGTTGATCACCAAAAGACTTCTTTTTAGGAAAAGCCAACAACCCAGGTTCAAGGTAGTGTTTTCCAAACTGACATAACCATTAGTGAATCTAGAAATCAATTTTAGGAGGTTATGGTTGGCATTAAAAAAAATAGACTACAATAAAACAAACAAAAAAAAAATAAGAGTATTGCATATTGCGAAGATGAGCATTGTTTCAGTTACTCTGTTTAGTTTTATACATCTCCTGGCACTGAGTTATGACAGAGAATGTAGTTCTTATATGGGCATGGTGAGCAAAAGGTTCGAAAAACACTGCTGCAGGTCCTATCTCAACTCTTACTTCCTTTCAGCAAGGCACAGAGAGGCAAGCGGAAAGAACTAGAGCTCTTGGCTGTTTCCTGGCTCATCCTGAACAAGCCCCTTAGCTTCTAAAGTCTCAGTGGCTCCATTTGGAACACGGGACAGTGGTACTATCTCTGACCATCTCAGAGAGTCTTTGTGAGGAGTAGATAACAGAATGTGTAAAAATGTTTTGTAAAATTATGCAAATACCCGATATGATTATTATTGATACCGTGCTACAAGTTTGTACTTTATGGAACAAAGAGTTTTGTAGAAAAGTTTCAAACCATAAAAAATATCCCAGATGCAGAAACAATAAGTCGGCTGCATTTATCTGCAAATGCTTGATATGGTTCTGGCTTTCCTGAAATAGGATTCATTCGCTCTTTCTTGGAGTACTTCGCTTCGAACTGGGGCCGTATTTCTTCCTAAAGAACAGACAGACACATTTTTTTTAAGCACCAGAGAAATACATACACACAATAAAAAAGACATTTTTTTTACTCTATTATAAAACTGAATCAACAGCTACCACACTAATCAATCAGTGAGGTGGGCTCAGAGACCCAGGTTTAAATGTCTGGGCATTGGCAACTTGAAGAAAATCTAAAGGGTAATGATTCAGATTTATTATCACCAAGGCAGTGTAATTTAGACTAGTAGTTAAGTGTCTATGTTATCTTATTAAACTGTGCTTAAAGAAACAAATAGAATGAGAAAAGGGACCGACTCTACTATTCCAAGCAGTTTGAAATAACTACTATACTTTTACTTTATTACCAGGGAATGTAAAGGGCAAAGAAAGTTTCTGAACAGAGAAATGTCTAGAATTCATGTTGTGAGTTATAATGACAAATATAATTCTTAGTTTTCTCCTACAATTAAATTTTTTTAATTGAGGCAGCCAAAAATATGGTGAATCTTTTTAATAAGCTCCTGTAAGAGTCATTCACTTTTATCCAGTAGATTTTAAATGTACTACTCATTATTGAAAACAAGGTAAACATCTTTCAAATCCAGCTAAAATCAAGGCAGCTCTAATTCTAAATCAAGCTGAGGCTTTGTTTCACTTAGTTGAGCTCCATCTAATGTGAAAAGCTTCTGACTAAAAAGCAATTATGGGATTAGAAACAGGAAATCAGCAAGAGGGTATGCTAAAGTGGTTCTGGTTAATTAAGTACCTATTCTACATGAATGTATTGCAAGAGGAGGGAAAATGAAAGGAAAGTCTGGTGAAATGGAGATTAAGTTAACCCAGGCAGAAACTCAGGACTCAGATGGAGACACTGACAGAAAGTGAAGAAGCTGACAGAAAACAGGTTCCGGACAATGGGCAAGTTTGGCAGTAGCCTGTGTGTGTAGAAGGAAGGGCAGCCTCACTCCTGCTGCAGAATAAGCCCAAGGCTGGACTTCACTTAGTGACAGGTAATGGGGAAGGACAGAGGGGAGATACAGTAATAAACAGGTTCTGCTTTCTTTCACTAATTTTAGGAAGTGACACTTAAAGATATAAACAGAATAGGACCCGGAATCTTCTGTTTCTTTAGGAAACTCTGAATTTATCAGGCTGTGAGTGTCATCTAAGAGTCACTGAGTTAATTATCCAGGGATTTGTGATGAATCAGGAGCTAGACCTATGTTTCTTCGTGTTAAGGGCTAAATTGTGTCTCCCCTCCCCCTACAAATTCATTTGTTGAAGTCCTAAGCCACAGTACCTCAGAGTGTGACTGATTTGGACAGTCTCTGCAGAGGTAATTAAGGTCAAATGAAGTCATTAGAGTGACCCCTAAATGACTGGCTTTTTATAAAAAATTTAGACATGGACATGCACAGAGAAATGATGATAGAACACAGAGGGAGCAGACAGCTGTCTACAAGCCAAGGAGAGGAGCCTGCAACAGATCCTGCCCTCACAGCCCTTAGAAGAAACCAACTGTGCCAATGCCTTGTTGATCTCAGACTTCCAGCCTCCAGAAACGTGAGCAACTAATTTCTGTTGTTTAAGGCACCCAGTCTGTGGTCCTTTGTTATGGCAGCCCCAGCAACCTAATACCCTGGGTTTTCCATGAAGAAGGCTTGCAGCAAGTTTGGGCCTTTCTGCAAAGCAATCTGAGTACCACAGGCTAGAATAAGGGGCATTTAGACCCTTCCACCATGGAGGACATTTGAGGAGTAGTTTCTCCTCAGTATTTAAGGACTTGAGGTCATGCATTTGAGCCTTTGCCGCTCTGAGCACTGTCCAGGGTTCTGGAGAGCTTGCAGAAACATTTCCCTGGAATTCTCTCATGATGTTTCCTTCCATATACCTAGAGCTGTAAGACTAATACTTTCCTGTTAAAGTAAAGAACACTATTTAAGAAAACTAAACAAATCTTACTACTAATGCTTCTGATGTCTCCACCTACAAGTGAAATGCTTTACTTAGCCACGGAATCTTAATCTACTAAGCGATCACAATGTTGTCTCTTCTTTCTTTTATAGTCTGTTCTTTTTTATACTACCTGAAGTTTTTTGCAAAGACAGGTATTGAAATGTTTTATGAGTAAACCTGACTTCTATCACAGAGCAGAGTGATAACTCAAGAGGACTGTGTATTTGTTGACTTTCTTTTTGAAAAATTCTGAGGTAAATAATACAAACCTCCTCTTCTTCCCAGTCGATCAGATCCCAGTCATAAGCAATTACAGCTCGCCGTCTTTTCCAGAACTCCAGGAAAACTGTCGCTGGAACAAGAAGAGAAACACAAAGACATTTTTAAATAAAACAATGCTGTTAACTGTCACTGAATAATGAACTCATTGCAGAGAATGACAGTTGTTTGTGTAAGCATCCCTGAATATCAGAATTTCTAGCTAAGCTTCATTTAACAAGGACCTTTTCAGAGAATTACTAAGCTTGTGTCAAACATAATGAAAAATTAGAGATTTCATTTAGAATTAAATTAAGCTGATTTGCAAGTTGAGGCAGAAAAGACTTATAATAACAAAGCTCCTGGGATATAAAAATATAGAAAACTAGGTTATCAACATCTTTCTCATTGATAGAATATTTATTTTTAAAAGTGAGGGGGCGGTAAGGGCAGAAAGGCCAAAATAAAACTTAGCAGTTTACATGTATCTGACTAGCAGAGATTGTCTCCCAAATCTTCTTCCCAACAAATATCTATGTAAAACATATTTTACTATTTCATTGAAAGAAATAATTTTATTATTTTAATCTTTTTCCCAAACTATTTCTTTTTTTTGTCACATTAAAGGAAGAAGTGTGCAAATTTTGTTAAGATCCTTTTTATTTTATTTATTTATTTATTTAATTTTTTAAAAAATTTTATTTATTTATTTGACAGGCAGAGATTACAAGCAGGCAGAGAGTCAGGCAGAGAGAGAGGAGGAAGCAGGCTCCCCACTGAGCAGAGAGCCCTGATGCGGGGCTCTATCCCAGGACCCTGGGACCATGACCTGAGCTGAAGGCAGAGGCTTTAACCCACTGAGCCACCCAGGCACCCCAAGATCCTTTTTTTTTTAATGAGTTATGGGGTAGCTGGCCTTCCCACCCAGGGAAATATGGAAGTTTATCCTCATTCAGCCAAAGTAACTTTCTACAGTTCAATTATTATACAAATGACAGAAGGGAAAAAATAATCAAGACATAACCTTGCTGTCTTGGAAGTCACAAACCAAACGATAGGATGCACAACATATACACATACATGCACACTCAAACTTTGAGGATGACTGCAACAAAAGATATCACAGAAACACCCAGGAGACAGAACTGGTAGATCCATCTCTCCTGGGCCTTGCTATGGTACTTAGACTTACAGAGGCAAGAGTCCAGGGCCGATCTGGTAGGCAGGATTTTCAAAAGCAGGCCTGCTATGTTAACTTTCTGCCTTACCAATTGTCTTTGCATGGGCCCCTGGGACAATTATTATATGAGGTTCTCTGGCCCCTTGAGAAAATGGTGCTTTCTAAAGACTTTCTTTTTTGTCTCCAGAGTCTCCCCTGGCCTTAAAGAGACAAAGCAGCTAGTCCTTGAATATGTGGCTATTCTTCACGAAAAGTCAGGACTGTAGCCTGTGACCTCAGAGAAGCCTGAGGGGGACCATTCTGGGACAGCCCGAGGCCACAGGAGAAGCATCCTGTCTGTCTCACTGACTGCTGATGCTCCCAGCAAGCCCTACCAACCCACCTGTAGGTCTCATTTGAAGGAACTGACTTCTAAGACAGACCAGTGGCTTTCAGAAACATTCCACCACCTTTCTTCTCCCTAGCAGGTGTTGAATCCTACATGAAGGAGAGAGAAGCTCTAACCAATAATTCCCTTTTGTGGCTAATACTCATCTTCCTCCCTTCCAGGACTTGGGAGGATGGGAAGAAATTAGTTGCTTATACAATGCTATTGTCTTGTGTTTTGCTTTTGAGGAAGAATCTGATGCTATCTCTAACCACGAGTGAGGATATAATCCAATATAGACTGTCTCCTTTCAAGGCAAATATTCAATCCCACACCCTTATTATTTCATGATTTAAATTCCCTTGCTTAAATACTCACAGCCCTGGGAGCCCACTGTACTTTGAATGTGTCTAGTTATACGCTGCCTTACATCACAAATTCACATTTTCCTCCTTGTCTCCTTTGAAGATGGCTTTACATTAATATATATAATTGTCTTCTACCACTAAACCACTCAGTACTATAAGTTTGATTAAAAAGTTATTTCTTGCTGTGGGAAGAGCCGAGATACCCTTCAACAGATGAATGGATAAAGAAGAAAATGGAATATTACTCAGACAAGGGAATATTACTCAGCCATCAAAAAGGACAAATACCCAATTTTTGCATCAACATGGATGGGAGTGGAGGAGATTATGCTGAGTGAAATAAGTCAAACAGAGGAAGTCAATTATATGGTTTCACTTACCTGTGGAGCATAAGGATAACATGGAGGACATTAGGAGAAGAAAAGGAAAAATGAAGGGGGGGCGGTTGGAGGTGGAGACGAACCACAAGAGACTGTGGACTCCAAGAAACAAACTGAGGGTTTTAGAGGGGAGGGGAGTGGGGGGATGGGTGAGCCTGGTGGTGGTATTAAGGAGGGCACGTATCGCATGGAGCACTGGGTGTTATACGTAAACAATGAATCTTGGAATATTACATCAAAAACTAATGATGTATGGTGACTAACAACAAAATAAAAAAAAGTTATTTCTTTCATGGGTCGATTCTCAAAAGATTTAAAGTTCCTAAGGGTTTGGCAAGATTTTCTACTATATGGAATTCTTTCCACAAGAATTTGGTCTAAAGTATCTTTTTCTCAAAGTATCAGAAGGTTTAACCTTACTGCCAGCATTCTGAAGTCCTTAGATTCCAATCTATCTATGTAGATAATGCTTTTTTGAAAACAAGGTCTGGCCATGTCTGGGTATCAAGGAACCACACCACCTACAGAAAAATCCCCACTACCAGCTCAGGATGCAAGGCTCCTAATGACTCTGCCTGTGTCAAACTCTCTCTGCCCCAACTTGTACCCTAGACTCCAGGCTACCTCACTAGCAGTTTTCACAGGTGAGCTGTTGTGTGACTTTCTTAGCTTTGCCCACACTATTTCATTGGTTTATAGTGTTCTTCCCTATTTGTGTCCATTTGGCCAACTCCTACTCTTGTTTTCAGATTTGGCTCTGTGTGTTCTGCAACCATTCCCTTTGAACCTTCTCTATACCCATGCTGAGTTGTGCAGATACCTCTAGGTCGGTGCTGAGCATAGCATTCAGCACTTAAAAAACAATAGAGAAACTTGATCATTTCTATCACTAGTTGTGGGCTCTTGAGAATATGGGCTATATATATTAGCAGTCTTTATATCCTCAGGGTCTAGCACAATGACTGGTATCCACAGAGGCACAGTAAATGTACAAATGACATGATGTCATGAAAATGAAAGCAATATGGCAAATTATTCTTTTCTTATTTATCTAAATCTTATAAGAAATTAGGGTATAAATTTGAAAAACATCTAATTATATCTTGTGAATGCTTTATATAGCAGTGTAAAATAATAACAAACATGAAAAATAGAAACCTACTATGCTTCTCTTTTGCCTTGCAATAAAATATCATTCTGTTCTTTCTTTTTAGAGAGAGAGATAGAGAAAGAGCACTGGGGGAGGGGGAGAGGCAGAGAGATAGAGAGAGAGAAAAAAAAATCCAAAGTAGGCTCAACACCCAGCAGAGAGCCCAACACTGGGCTCAATCTCATGATCCTGAGATCATGACCTGAGCCAAAATTAAGAGTTGGACACTTAATGGACTGAGCCACCAAGCACCCCAGTATCATTCTAATTATTACTTGGTTGTATGAATCCTGTGGCAAGGACTACCTACCTCTAAGATGCATTCTTGCCTTGTTCCACAGTAAAAGGTAGCTGCCCACCTGTACTGTAGTTCTCAGATCTCCTTGCTGTTGGATATATATGGCCAAAAGACAGTTCTCACAATGGAATGTGAACAGAAAAATGTGATAAATGCCACTTGCCTGTTGATATCTTAAGACAGTGAGGGTGCTTCTTCCACATTCTCTTTACCCTTTTGCATAGGTGGAGCCCAAGTAACTCAGCTGATATTATGCAAATGATGTCAAGGCCTGGGAGGATTGCAAACAACTTGTTCGTAGGACTATGAGTCCCTGAATGACCCTGTGTGCAGAGCTATCTCTGGAATGCTTACCCCATTTACTCACTGAGACATTGCATGAGGCATGAAGGTGAAAAAACTTACGAGTTCCTTCCTTTACCTATTTTAGATAGGGCAATATCAAGCCCTTAGTTTTAAGACAGAGTTTTGTGTGCTCTCTTCTCTCCCCTTTCTACTCTATACTACCCCATACTACTACCTGACCTACCTACAAATGAAGTTCATCCCATGTGTTATCATCAACGCCAAATAGCAAGCCCCTCACAACATTAGTGGAAGCATTAGAAAAATCTGAGACTTGCAATACGTGCCCTCCTTAATACCCATGTATTGCATGGAGTACTGGGTGTGGTACATAAGCAATGAATCTTGGAACACTGAAAAAAAAAAAAAGATGTCAATAAAAAAAAAAGGAAAAGAAAAACCTGAGACTTCTGAATTTAAGTATAAGAAGGGTCAAGGTTAGTGTTCAGGTATGTTTGTGTTCAAATACCAGGACACCACTGGCTCAGAATCGTACACAGTTGAGAAGGTTGTGACATATATCCCATAAAGGACACAAAAAGGACATGACAGAGTGTTCAGCAGGCCATGCTCTACTATCACTTTCTTAAGTAAAACAATTATTGTTAGTTTCAAATCAATTTGTATCAGACTTCTATGTATTTGCCCAAACCATTTCTTATCTTTCTAGGCATAGTTAGATTACATTTTCCAGCCTTTATTACAATTAGATTTCACCACATTTTGATAAATGGAAATTAAGCACAAGTGATGTATGTCAGTTTTGGACTAAAAAAATTAGAAAGTAATTATATCATCCCATGCTTCTTTTCTCCTTTTGAGGGGTGAATGGAGAGGACTCTAAGGATCCAGAAGAGCATAGAGCCACCAAATAAAAGGAACCCGGGTACTTAAATGACCATGTAGAAGGCTAACAACCAGAAATACCTGGTTGGGTTTCATGTGCATTTTTTTTTATTTTCAAGATTTATTTCTTTATTTGAGAGAGTGTGAGAGTATAGGAAGG